AAAACTTCCTTCGCAAAGTGTTTCTTATAACCCAAAATTTCCTTCAAAGCTGTGCTTGAAGCTCATATAAGCTTTATCAAATGCACCAAAGTTGTCCATGAACAATTGCACCAAAATTGCACCAAAATTGTCCATGCACAATTCAAAACTCTCAGAATTTTCCTGCCAGAATTATCACTGCCAAAAACCCAGGGTAACAAAGCCACACCTGGAGGTTGTTAAAGCTGACAAAAGTTGTTCTACAAGGTTGAAGCTAGAAAGATGAATTCTCCCATATACTGTAAGTTTGCTGTGGTCCAGGATAGACAGAAACATTTGGCAGGTAGATGAAAGAGGCCTTCTAGGTGAATATTCTGGTTCAGACCTGCTATAGTATGTACCCCTGATCTACCTACCTACCTACTTGCATTCTTGTATGTGTATTAGCTTGTATTTGCAAATCATTCCATCGTTCTGACTCTGGGCAGCAAAAATAAATCAACAATAAAACACTAATATGGTAAAACATAGTCTCCCCAAATCATCCAAGATCAAAGGCATGCTTGAACAGAAGGGTCTTCAAAGCCTTGTGAAATACAAGGAAGGTCAGGCCCAAATGTACTCAGGGGAAGTAAAAAATAAAACAATTGAAAAGGAACGGGGCTGGCCACATAACAAGAACTGGTGGCAGTTGGACCAAGGTAGTCATAGAATGGATCCCACTTGATAAAAAGCATCCACGAAAGAGAGCTAAAAGATGGATCGACAACATCAGCAAGTATTGTGGGCCCAACTGGCAAAAGAAATGTATTGGTTGGAAACATACAGAAGAGGCCTTCATCCTTCTAGAAGGGCTAGAAGGATGATAATAATAATAGTAAAGTTAGAAGGTACCTTGGAGGTCATCTAGTCCAACCCCCTGCTCAGGCAGGAAACCCTATACCATTTCGGACAAATGGCTGTCCAGTCTCTTCTTAAAAACCGCCAGTATTGGAGCATTCACAACTTCTGGAGGCAGGTTGTTCCACTGGTTAATTGTTCTGTCAGAAAGTTTCTCCTTAGTTCTAAGTTGCTTCTCTCCTTGCTTAGTTTCCACCCATTGCTTCTTGTCCTGCCTTCAGGCGCCTTGGAAAATAGCTTGACTCCCTCTTCTTTGTGGCAGCCCCTGAGATATTGGAACACGGCTATCATATCCCCCCTCGTCCTTCTCTTCATTAAACTAGACATACCCAATTCCAGAAGCCGTTCCTTATATGCTTTAGCCTCCAGTCCCCTAATCATCTTTGTTGCTCTTCTCTGTACTCTTTCTAGAGTCTCAACATCTTTTTTACATTGCAGTGACCAAAACTGGATGATGATGATTCCAAAATGTAAGGGCTATAACTACTACAGGTAGTACAACAGTTCATTGAGTGACCGTTCAAAGTTGCAATGGCACTGAAAAAGTGACTCATGACCAGTTTTCACGTGACCATTGCAGCATCCCCATAGTCACATGATCAAAAGTCAGACAATGGGCCACTGACTCATATTTATGACAGTTGCTGTGTCCCAGGGTCATGGGATTACCTTTTGCGACCTTTTGACAAGCAAAGTCAAGGGGGAAGCCAGATTCACTTAACAACCATGTTACTAACTTCACAACTGCAGTGACCACTTAGCAATTGTGACAAAAAAGGTAGTAAAATGGGGCGAAATTCACTTAACAACTATCTTGCTTAACAACAGAAATCTTGGACTCAGTTGTGATCATAAGACGAGGACTACCCGTATAAGATTCTGCCCCATGGTCTACACCACCTCAAGAGGGGTGGGACTTCAGCAGACCTTCTTTAGACTTGTGGATATGTTGATATCTTTTTGTTGTCTAATCTTAACACCTCAAATAGTTTTCAATTTAAAGGCCAGATTTTAGCTTAAAAAAGTTAACAATTAAGTAATAAAGTAATATATTCTAAAGGAAGAGGACTGAAAAAATACCCCACACCAGCTGATGTATTTTTGAACATTATTATGTTGTCACAATGGAAATATCCCTTTAAAAAAAGCCCATAAGAGGATAATATGGATTTCTTCGTTGGATATTGATCATGTATTTCTTTACCCTAATCCCAAGGGGTGATGGCTGGCTAAGGTTATTAGTGGTTTTGCCAAAAGTATCCTTACGTGTTATATGTAAGTAATCCTTGAAAAGTGCTGATCCTTATTAAGCTCTATTTAATGCCTACATTAATTGGCAAAATCCTCCACATCTATAGCAGAGAATAAAGAAATAACCCCTGGCTGTTAAAAGCTAAAACGCTCACATGAATAAATCCTGATGGAGAAATAGTATAACTTGGCTATATATCCAGCTTGAAGATATTCCTTTTGTTTTGAGAAGTATCCCTTTTTCTGTGCAGCAAGACTTGTATTTTTGTCTTGTGGACTGGCATTCAGAAGGATGAGGAAATTATTAAGAATTAATTCGGAAATTGATGAGTCTGGGCAGTTCCTAAGTCTTTCATTCTAAATACAAGTTGCTAAGAAGTACTTCCCAATGGGACTGCTTTCCAAATGTTGATATTGTATAAGACCAAGTCTTGAGGCAGCCTAGTTAGAAATGGATAAAATGAGCATCAAATCTTTATGCCACAATTTGTCAAATTTCGAACTGCCCTAGTCTTGCAGCTGCCCGGAAGCACTGCATCTTCTCTGTGCAGAAACAGCCAACAGACTGATATAAATCACTCCAGATTTTCCACCACAACAAGCTGATCTCCAATAGCCATGAGGCAGGAACTGAACCATGAAGCCACACTTCCATAGCGAAGGTGCAGAGAGCCCTTCTGTCTAGCAATGGCTCATACACATCTGTTGCTCACTTGAGATCACGCTGAGCAATGAAGCATGAGCAAGCAAGCTGCTTGGACATTGACACAGAAGTGCTTTTTAACCTCCAGTTTTAACCTCCACTTTTATATGTGGCAACTAATATCAAAGGGCCACTGTTTAGGAAAAAATGTTGAAAAAAAAATCAGCATGCAACTATTTGTGTCACGTCCATAATTCAGACCAGTGAATTGAGGGACAGAGGGCCTCTTCTGCAGAGATACAATGGCATCCTTTTAAATATCCAAAGTGATAGGTGGAAGTTGTCTTTTCCCACAAAAATCAAGGAATATTTAAGTGAATTTCTCGAATTCATGCTAATGAAAAGAGTAGGCTTAGAAGGAAATTGGGCTGAAGCAAGGCCTAAAATCATCTTAAAATTTGTCTAGCAATAACATTCAAATTTAAATGGGATTATGATGTACAATCAGGCCAGTGAACACACAGCAAAGCGGAGTTAGTAAATTTATTTATTTACTTATTTATTACATGTACATGAAAATTTGTATGAAATAATGAAAGCATGCTTATCTTACATCTTCTGCAAATTAGAGTACCATTGCATATTTAGAGTACCATTTCAGACATTCCAGAGAAAGAAAGCATCAGGAAATGATGTTCAAGTCAACCATGAATCGTTTTGCTACATTTTTAGGTACCGCATTAGGCTATTGAGGGAAAATCATGATTCGGATGCCAGGAAAGATGCAGCTGCTTTCAGGAGTTAAGGCCAGGTCCATGTGCTGCCAAACACTTTTTGGAAACAGAATCTGAAGCTCTACCCAACTGTTTTATGTCTCTGCAGCTAAAACCTACCACCTAAGCCGACAGGATTTTATGGAGCCTTTGAAAATATTCTGTGCAATCTTCTCCAGACAACAGAAAAGATGACTGAACGTGAAAATTAACACTATGTGTAAATTAAACAAAATAAAATTTAGATTTGGCTCCAGCTTTGGGTTATGTAGTGAAGCTCCTGATGTCCTTGACCTGATCCAGAAAATTCCTCCTTCATATCATTATTCTCATCACAATTATTAGAACATTAAGAACTTCTTAATAAGATTTGGTTTCTTGCGGAAGGAAGTCACTGGAAACATACATTACTTAATATATGAATTTATTTTCCAATGCATGAACTTAATTGGAGGCACACATAAATCTTCTAGGAGCCAAATGCAGATTACATTGAGTGGTAGTTCTGATGGAGTACAGTTCCCATAATATGCAGCCAACACCAGAATGATAAAGTTGCATTCCAAAACAACTGAAGAAATCTGCTGCTGCAGATGAGGGGGAAAGGGTCAGTTATAATCAATAAAAATGATAAAGGTGCTTGATAGTCTGTAACTGGTTTATTTATCCCATAAAATAATCAAAGCTGATGCTTCCACTTATGAAAGGAGGCATAGCAGATTTTAAAAATGAATATTTCTTGGTACAAAAAGGCACTTCTGTTGCACTTACAGTAAATAGGTTTCAAAACAGTTTGTCGTATCTGTACAATTTTGTTTAGTATTTGGCACATTATCCTCATTTCAAAAAACCCAGAGACAACAACAAAAAAAGAGCTTGACTAGCTCTCCTAAGATACCCAGTGAAGGGTGGATTGGATATGGCTGGATGCATCACATGTTAGGCAAGCTTGATGGTCTATGATCACCTTCTTCTATGATACTCTAAAGCAGGGGTAGGGAACCATGGCTCTTTTATGACTTGTGGACTTCAACTCCCAGAATTCTTGAGTCAAGTGGGGGGGCATGGCCCTTTTATGACTTGGGGACTTCATCTCCCAGAATTCCTGAGCCATCCATGCTCAGGAATTCTGAGAGATTAAATCCATAAGTCATAAAAGGGCCATGGTTCCCCACCCCTGCTCTAAAGCAATATTCTCAACCTCAGCAACTTTAAAATTGGTGGATCAACTCCTAGGATTCTCCAGCCAGCATGTCGGAAGTTGGAATCCAGACATGTTAAGGTCACTGAGGTTGAGAAACACTGCCCTAAAACAATCATTAGACTCCACTCTCCAGGACAGGCCTCAGCTTTCATTAACACACGTTCATGGTCTTTGAAATTAAACATATATATACTCTCCCTAGACACAGAGACACATACATACCCCATTTTTTTCCAGTCTGCCTTGGTTCTTTTTACTATTTCTTACTCTCTCTTTTTTAAAAATTTCCACATCTTTTTCTTTTCCATCCCACAGCAAAAAATAACCCTCAACGCCGTGGATTTGATTGAATTATCTCTTTTCCATCCCCCTTCATGCTCTCTGAATTTGAAATGTAAACATGTTGAAATGTCTGAACTTTCCCATCTTGGGGGGGGAGCTTATGGCTTTGGTTCAGCAACAACAACAGAAGGAAAGCTGTCTCTTGGACTTTCCTGGATCCCATAATATAAATCATCCTCTTCTGCCTCCTGCAAGGCTCTGCTGCAGTCCAGAGGATCACAATTTGCTATTCCCACAATGCCATCACCTGGTGTAGGAGGAACAGAGCAATGGCTCTGACTTGGGGTCGTGGTGTTTTCGTTGCTCTGCCCCTGACCTTCCACTGCCAGGGAATCAATCAAGGCAAAATCTTCATAAGAAGGAAGCTTGAATTGGAGCTGGCTTCCCCTTAGAGACACAGAATTTGGGACATCTTTCCATCCCGTTAGAGACACAGAATTTGGGACATCTTTCCATCTCTGTAAAAATGGGCTGTTGGAAGTGGAGTCCAGTGAAGAAGTGTCCACTTCCTCTTGAAGAGATGCTAATGGTGCAGCCTTTGGAAACCTCTTAGATGGACTGGAAGAAGGAAAAAAAAAAGGATTTAGTGAAGGGCATTCCTTCTAAGGCTGTTTGTTGAACTGTTTTGGGTTTCAACTGAAAAGTTTACAGTAAATGAAGCAATGTGGATGATAAGTTTGTGCCAGGTTATTAGTCCAGAGTGACTAATTTCCTTGTTACGAGTTTGGTTTCTAAGACTAGATGTTTTATTGACCAACCCAGTCCAACATCAGCATTTGGATAGAAGAATGGGTGGAAAACAAAACTGTACCAGGCAATATGACTATACTGGCTTTTAAAAGTTGGAAACTAGAGTGCTTCTACTGTATTTTATTCAACCAACCTTTTTTTAAAGAAATTTCATCTTTCCTTTAATTAAGATCACAACATGATTTGATAATTCATCAGTTACAGTACATTAATCAGTTAGAGCAGCTTTATTCAAGTAAATTAGTATTCCCAGTGAATGAAGCAACAAAATGAAAGTAAGAACATAAAATATCCATAGAGGCAGTCTTAGAAGAAACATTACAACTTTAAAAGTACTTTCAATTAATCTAGATTATAACCTTATGCATCTAGTTCCATGTCCAGTAATTTTCTGCTAGTGATTTCTGCCATCATTTCTTCACTTGGAGTTTGCTAAGAATGAGAAGCAACTTGATGGCACATATTCAAAATAGCTATATCACATCATACTTCATTATCAAATATTACAATAAAGAGTCAACCTATTTTGTTCTAGATAATGTTTTAATTATATCATTCAAATACCTACTTTTTGTAAAACACGTGTAATAAAGTTTTAAGAATTTTAAAATAAAGTTAGTGATGCCTTTAAGGAATATACATTGGTGATATTTTTGCTGAGGTTGCATGGAAAATGGAGTTTAAAACAGAATAAAAGAGTTGGAAGAGACCTTGGAGGTCTTCTAGTCCAGGGCTTTTCAACCTTTTCACCCATTGTACCACTTTTAGGAGATGGGAATATCCGAGTACCACCAGTCGCCTAACAAGGGGTCAAAAACTTGATGACCAAAAAAAAAAAAAAAAAAACACCCAGAAAAAAGTGATAAAGTACAGGTAGTCCTCAACTTACAACAGTTCATTTAGTGACTGTTCGAAGTTACAATGGCATTGAAAAAAGTGCCCCCCAAGCAACAGCCGAGCAAGACACCTGCCTGCCCACCTGGCGGTGCTCTTCCTCCTGTCCGAGGTTTTCATTGTTGTGAGCATTTCTGTTGAGGATTGGCAGTGGGGGTGGGGTGGGGGCTGTTTGGTTTTTATTCCCCCCATCTGCTGGGTGGTTGCAGCAGGTTTTGGTCACTTCACATGACCCTGGGACACTGTGACCGTCATAAATATGAATCACTTGCCAAGCATCTGAATGTAAATCGTAAGACCCTGAAGATACTGCAACATTCCAGCTGATTGGTGCTTCTTCAGGGCTCAGCAGAAGCACCAGGATCAGCGCTGAGCTCCAGCTGGAGCCTGCCGCTGATCCTGGCACTTCCACTGAACCTTGACAGCCCTGAAGAAGTGCTGATCAGCTGCAAAATGGCACTGACCCTGGCACTTCCGCTGAGCCCTGACAGCCCTGCAGCTCCAGCCATCTCTCGCTCAGGCTTGTGCAGTGCTGCCACCGGTTCAGCTCATTCCCCTCCTCCATTACCACTTTTCTAGGATGGTCGCGTACCACCTGCCAGGTGCCAATGTACCACAGGTGGTACCCGTACCACTGGTTGAAAAGCCCTGTTCTAGTCCAACCAGCTGCTCAGAGAGTAGTGATGAAAGACCTGGTAAGTTAAGACCTTTTAATTGAAACAATTCTAATAATGTAAAATTCACTATGAAGAATCCCCATGTTGATTCTGACTCTGTAAATCAACAATTCTTTTATTTTTACTCTCAAAACTATAAGGTTGTTTCAAAAATAACCGAGGTGCAAAAATAATTGTATATGATACAGCTTTTCCTAACATCATATACAGTGAAGCTTCCTATTCAGTGGTTCCTTTATCTCCCCCATCCACTACCAAAAAATTAATATAACAACTACAACAATTAAAGCACCACTTGAACACTGTCAACACTGACAAAATCACCATCAGTCAACCGTAACAGGCAACTGTACTTGTAACAACTTACATCTTGTAATAATATTTTTAACATTATTAAACAAGAACATCTATCCAATCCAGGTCTTGGGAATGACTCAATAGGTGGGCAAAAATGACAAATCCATTCTAAATATTGGCTGACTGTTTTACCAATTATAATACCTGGCTATCATTAAACTTATGAAAATAAGGATAAGCTTTTTTGTCCCAATAGTGTTGTCCATATGCAATTATAAATTAAATCTGGACAACCACTTGATTGTAATTAAAAAGTTAAGGTTTTCTGTATCTCTTTGCTTCCAGCTACAAGTCTTAGATTTTTGCAGTCCAAATCCAATTGCTCTAATATAAGCTAATTCATAAACAGTTCATATATGTTACTCACCAGTTCAGTCCAGTTGTTGCATTTCTGTTAAGGCTCTCATTACTCTCTGAGTCCCTGTGGACATCTGCCTTGGCATGTAGATGAGGATGTCTTCCTGTCCTGACTAGTGGCACTGGGATGGGCAAAGTTCCCAAGTATTCTGCAGAACTGTTTGTCTGGATTTGTTCATAAGTGGGCAGGCTTTTCTCATATATGTCAGCTTCTTCCTGGCTTGTGTATTGGGTTTGCAAACTGTGGAGAAAGCAAGATAAAATTCATTTCTATCTATCTAGCTATCCATCCATCCATGAATTTATTTTCAAGACAGCTAATCCCTGGACATAAAGATGGACCTCCCTCCTAATAGTATTAATAGGAGTTTGATCTTTAGGAGATCCTATGGAGAATATCAACCCAATAAAGTAATATCATGCATTGATGGGGTTCAGGGATTGAAATCATAATGATTTATTTTATTGTATTTTGCCTCTCCATATGAAATTGACCAGACAGAACTCAAACTAATAACAAGTGATGTACTGATTGAGACTGGACTACAGATAGAACAAACAAGGTTTTATTTTACTGTCAGCAAAAAAATTCACTGGGTGTTTTTGGCCAGTTAGTTTTTCGTGGACCAACATAACCCACTGGATGGTTGTTGTACACACAAATCTGAGGAAACAGTGCTACATTGCTGCTTTGAGTTTGTGGAAGAAAGACATAAATCTAACAAATAATGAAAGAAGGAAGGATGAACAGATAAAATGAGCTTGTACAATTGAGTAGAGCATTGGCAACTGACTAAGAGGAAGATATAGGAAGAGGTATCTTGTGCCCTTGAAGGGCTGCTGTTTAGAAAAGGAACAATTGTTTTTTTTTTTTTCAAACTAACTCAAACATGCAGGAAAGGAATAATGAGTTGAGCCCACTATCACCTTTTCCAAGTCCACACTTGGAAGCAGAGCAGGTTATCTGGACTTATCAATGTTTACCAAACAGAAGTCAACAACTCTATTTTGGAAAACAGACAGACTTCATTATCTTTTCTAGGTGTTACTGGGACTGTTGTTTGACAACCTCAAAGATCTGCTGCCTCTTCTTATGGCTCTGCCCTTAAATCCATGTTAGCCTAGATCAGGGGTGGGGGACTATGGTCCTTTTATGACTTGTGGACTTCAACTCCCAGAATTCTGCATGGCTGTCTCAGGAATACTGGGAATTGAAGTCAACAAGTCATAACAGGGCCACCATTCCTCATCCTTGGCCTAGATAGCTCTTAAATCAGGGGATGCTTTCAAATAAGCAGTAGTCCCAAGAAAGCTTTTCTAAGAGGGGCTGCTCCAAGTTCAATAGACTAGATGGTCACTCAAATACTCTTGAGATATGCCCCTTTGCCAGCGTGTACTCAGGGGAGGGTCATAAAGCACATATCTCCTTTGTACATGTGTTGATGTCACACACCCATAGAAAGGAATAGGGTTTCAATAAAACACTTGTGAATTCTATTTGGACTTTTTTGCCTCTCTCCCTGCAGATGCCCTGTGGCCCTTCCCATTGAATGAAAATTTGTTCCTTGAAGAAGATGTTGGCCAGTTTGAATGAAAGGCTGAGCCAATATTTTGCAGTTCGGTACAGGCCATTTTTTCCCCCCACTTGGAATCCGAAGCCTTGTTAACTTGGTAAACTGTGCTAGCACCGAGAATAAACCAACCTAAACTGTAGTGCATCTTCACCAGAAGCTAGAATGGCTGCCCCAACAGGGATACTGTTCACTAGTTTATAACCCAGCATGCAACCATGTTTTATGAAAAGCTTTTTTTTTGTTAAGAGACCTTAGTTAAGAAAGCCTGATAAATGACTTAGTAGACTAAGTCACAGTAAATGACATTCAGATCTTAAATCAGGAAAACAGTTCTCAACAGAGTTCATAAAAATGAACCACATGGCACTAGTCTTGAGGAATACAATCTTGAGGAATACTAATTTCAGAAAAGTGAACCTTTTGTATGACTTGAATGGAGACTCCACGTTTTATAACTTTATAGTTTTCTCTATGGGTTTTATGCTTTTCTATGGGATTTATAGTTTTCTCTATGAGAATCTTCTCAATGAGTTGTATAATCTTTTTTAACCTTAACATATGAAGACAAAAGATCTATTGTTCTAAGGCAGGGGTCTTCAAACTTGGCCCTTTTATGACTTGTGGACTTCAGCTCCCAGAATTCCTCAACCAGTGTGCCTGGCTGAGGAATTCTGGGAGTTGAAGTCCACAAGTCATAAAAGGGCCAAGTTTGAAGACCCCTGTTCTAAAGGCAAGTGCATTCTTTACTCACCTTAAATCCTGAACATTTATTGGGACTAGGTAAACACTAAGAAGAAGCTGAATGTTGCAACCTCAGGATTAGCCTTTAGTTTCTAGCAGGTGGAAATCTAATGTAATTTCATGAGTTTGCAATAAATGAGTAATAGCTTTTGAGATGACCTTCTTTTTTTTCTTACAGATGGTAATGGAGAGTTTAATTTTAAAAATATAATATTTATTGCCATTTGCTATCCCATGCCAGCGTTTCTCATCCTTGACCTTGTCCTTCTGAGGAACATAACCTCTAGTACCTACTGGCTAGCACTCTAATTAAAATGTAGATTGCGGACTATTGAGCTGAAGCCTGCTGGCTTGGCTTCTTCATAAGCATACCTTTTTTTCTCAGGAATCGTATTTTCAATAGATGATGAGGCAGCCAACTTCTTTACAAAGAACTTTTCAGATTCTGGGTTCTTTACAAGAAACTTCTCAGACTCCGAGTCAATGGAAACAACTCTGATCTAGAGGAAAAGTTAGGAAAAATGGCTCTATTGATTAATTTGTGTTTTGTGTGAATATGCAAACAACTGTATAATTTCACTAGGTATCACTTCAACAGGCTCTAGAACAGGGGTCTTCAAACTTGGCCCTTTTATGACTTGTGGACTTCAACTCCCAGAATTCCTCAGCCAGCATGCCTGGTTGAGGAATTCTGGGAATTGAAGTCCACAAGTCATAAAAGGGCCAGGTTTGAAGACTCCTTCTCTAGAAGTTTGCCATATTGAGTAGGTGTAAAGGACCATACAACTGCAGAAAACCAATTCAACCTCCTATTGTAGAGTCTCCTAACCAGCTTCTCTTTAGTAATTTATTACATTATTACCCCACTTCTTTTCTAGGGAGGCAATATAGTAATAAGCAAATAATGTAATAAGCAACATGATGTCTGTGATAATATAATTGTGTCCATAATAATGTAATTGTTTCCACAATAATGTCATTAGCAATATGGTTTCCATGGAACAAATGTTGCTCTAGGCACTTTCCTTGGTGCCTGTCTTGTCTACCCTCCCACCTGATTTTTAAAAATAATTATTTTGATAAAAATAATATCAGGAAGTTGGTGTGTACCAGTCTCTAATATATTTGTTTGTAGGAATACTTTTGGGTCCCACCAGGTCTAAATTATCCTGTTCCTACAACATCCTTAATTGAGCCAATGGAAAGTAATATATTGTTGGAACACCATAAAGAAATTAACTGACCTAATCAAATAACCTGCAGTTAAATTTTATCCCAGTCATTGAAAGGATTAAACTAACTCCATCCAACCAATTACATATGAAAATACCTAAACCCATTATGAATTTCTGGTCCCCAACAAAAAGAGGTAGGGAGAAAAATCAGCTGAAAAGCAAACAGAAGTTTGTGATAGAATTCAGAAAATGGAAACCTGGTATCACATAACCCATGCTAAGCTGTTTCTCCTGCAACCTATCTAGTGCCTGGCCAATGAAGAAGTGGGCTAGTTATGTCCAGGTAGCCATGTCAATAGTCTCCTGGTTCAAGACTCATGGGATATCAAGCTGTTTTGGGAGAAAGGAGGTGATGTCAGCCTATATAACCATTATAGTGCATGAAGATTCCTATTTTTGCTCCATATGTACCTGCCCTGTCTGAGAATAAAGATCTAAGTAAAAACAAGAGTTGCGGGAATTGCCATAAGTTCTCCATCTTGTTTGAGTTCAAAGGAAAAGAGCAAATCATGGATCAGAAGCAATGTTGATAAAGTTCCTATCATTACCAGCCACTGGCCACAAAGGAGTTATCATTTGTTTGTATTTGTTAACCTTTTCCTTCCCTCCTTCCTTCCTTCCTTCCTTCCTTCCTTCCTTCCTTCCTTCCTTCCTTCCTTCCTTCTTTCCTTCCTTCCAGTTTCATTCAGATTAACAGATTCACACATGTACAAGACACATTTCATTGGCAAAATCAATATTATGCAGAGTTTCAGTCTCAATAACACTTAATTATAGCCCATCCTAAACAATTCTCTCTAAGAAGGAAGGAAGGAAGGAAGGAAGGAAGGAAGGAAGGAAGGAAGGAAGGAAGGAAGGAAGGAAGGAAGGAAGGAAGGAAGGAAGGAAGGAAAGGCGCTGGCTGCTGTTTTAGACATTTTAGACATTTAAAAAAAAACAATGCTGCCTACCTTTGGGTAGCACTGGCACATGCTCCAGATAATGCCCACAGCAATGAACAAGACTCCCAGGGTGCAGAAAGTGATATAGATTTGTGGTTTCTCCACACTCATGATGAACATGCCGATCATGACCAGAAAGAATCCCAGGACAATAAGTCCATAACGAAATGTTTTTTCTTCAGCCATTGTAATGTATACCCTTCGGAAAGCAAAATTAACATCAAGCTAATCTAATGTAGATGGACGTATTTATAAAAGGTGGTTGAACTGGAATCTGGAAAAGGGAGGGAGGGAGGGAGGGAGGGAGGGAAGGAGGGAAGGAAGGAAGAAGGAAGGAAGGAAGGAAGGAAGGAAGGAAGGAAGGAAGGAAGGAAGGAAGGAAGGAAGGAAGGAAGGAAGGAAGGAAGGAAATAAATCCAGGGCAGCCCTTCACCTGTTCCTGACCCAGACAATCCACAGGTACCTCTTCCAGAGGCAGCAAGGGGACAAGTGTCAGCTCCACCTCTAGACTAGTCCTGCCCTGATCTCAGCCAGCCAGTTTTAAATGGGTTTGTAATGAATGCAAACAAGATCTTTAAATTCACATTTGAGTAATGCTGCCTGAGGGGAGCTTTACTATAACCTTCCTCCTAGCTATAGACCATGCAAAAGCTACCAATGATTTGCCAAGAGTGTGTGGAGAGGAAGCTATATGTTCTAGGCTCCAATCGAAGCTAAGGGGCTGACTGGTAAATGGTGAATTACGTAGCACGTAGACAGCCAAGGGAGTACTTTACTTTCAAATTAAAATATAGCTTCTCTCAAGTAATACATCTTTCTTCTTGTGTATGTAATTAACCTGGTTTATTTATTGAAAATATTTCTTAAACATCCTTTGTCTGGGGAATATTATTATTTCGTATGATGTAGCAAATGCAGCATGGTGTATAAAATTCATAGAAACAACATATTAAAAGTGTATCAAAATATAAAACACCAGAGCAGTGAATTATTTTAAAAACACACAATGCGAGCGATGAATAAAATTATGAATAAAATTAAATTATATATGAGAAGTTACTTCAGTGACTAATATACAAAAATATGAATAAAACTATTGATGGAAACTAATAAATGAAGTATTCTGGAAATTCTTCAAGCTTCGGGGAATAAAGTTGTCATGTTAAGAAAGGCAAATGACAAGAAAGTTGTATGAATTATTTGCTTTCTTAGTGAGAAGAGTCATATTTAGATGGGAATCCTCAGCTATAGCCATGTTCTTTCCCCAGGAGAAAAAAAATAACTAAACTGCACTACATCAATGTAAATAAATATGATTGATGTGTTTACTATATTTATAATCATTCCTCAGTTTCCACATTCCTCCATTAGACATTATTTTTAAAAACGCCAGTCTCAGTCTAAATTGTAATCCAAGAGTATATTTTCCCATTATGCCAAACACACTTAGTCTTCTGGGTTTACTCTTCATTCATCTAAAGATTTTCCACAATTAATCTTTTTTCAGAAGGATCTTCAAACATTTCATCCTGAATCTGCCATGCAATAATTCAGACTTCCTTTTCCCAACTGCTAGTGAAATCACAATTTGCATTATATATATTCAATATACTAATCAAGCTTGTAAGTTAAAGCAAATATACTTTGTTTTCTAGTCCTCTTTCTTAATAATATTTCAATCACAGTACTTTTTCTTCCCCACGGCTGCAATCCTTAAAAGCATTTCAGATTTACAGTATAATAGCCACAAATATTTTGGTAGTAGGTTGCCATCTAGTGGGGCTTTCAACTTGCAAATAGGAAAGTAACTCTTTGGAAATTTGTGTGTTGGTGCTTGATTTTGATGTCAGTTTGCTTCATTATGAAGAAAGGGATCTAAATATTCTCCCCCACACCTGTTTTATTCTTATTTTTCCTGCTTTTTGCACAGATACCTTTTTTCAGTTACTTAGCCAGCAGTCGAATTTGACCAAACCTGGGTCTTCTCTGGTTTACTATTCGAAAGCCTGGAATTTTGGCTTTAATTGCTACCTTGTCCCCAATGGAAATATTTTTTTTTCTCAAATAAGAATCTCTATCCCCCTTTGGATTATGATTTGGTGGAACATTCAAAAGGTTTTTAAAAGGAAGATTAAGTTTACTCCCCAGTTATTTCTTTTGGGTATTTTTGTGAATTTTGATGCTAAAGAAGCTATTTTAATGTTGAATTTAATAACAGCAGCAAGATTGTTGGTAGGTCAATATTGGAAGAAAGACTCTCTGCCTTCTTTAGAAGAATGGGTATTTAAGGTTTCTAATTTAGCAGAAATGGCTAAAATTTCTGCTTATTTAAAGGATCATTCACAAGAGAGATATGTTATTGTATGGAGAAGATGGATAGAATATGTTCAGAAGAAATATGGAACTACAAAGTTTCATTTGTTTTATGAGTAATGGATTTGTTTATAAAATTATGATGTTAAAGTTTGAAGAGAGTTAAGGGTTAGTATGATTTTGGTTATTGTATAATTAGTTAACTTAAATAGGTTATGTTTAATATGTTTGTATAACCCTGTACTTAGCTCTGGGAAGTGGGGGGGGGAGGAGGGTGGGGGGAGGATGGGTTGGAGGTTAAATAGCTCAGATAAGTAGAAATAGTTTTATTGTATATAATATTGATGTTTTAATTTGGAGAGAGGAATTGCTCGGGCATTTCCCCTGGACTGCATCCGGAGTGAAAAGATAGGAGGAAGGGGAGAAGTAAGTAGGAAGGTTGGGGAGAAGAAGGAGAGAGGGAGAGTGAGGAAGAAGAGGGAAAAAGGGAAGTGAGAGAAGAGGTTAGAGGGTGGATGTGGTTTGGGGGGAAATGTGAGCAATACCGAAAGTTGTGTGTATAAATTTATTTTATTTTTTATCTGAAGTATTTTTTATGAGTGTAATGTAAAATTGAAAATAATTTTTTTTTACAAAAAAAAAAGAATCTCTATCCCTTGAGAGACAATCAGAATCTAAATGACACTGTACTCCAAAGAGAAGCCATGGAGATCCCAAAGAATACTCATTAGATTCAGTCCCATCCTGACTGGCCATCCCATTCATGAGAAGGATCCTTCTATTTATCAAAGTTGCTAGGATGCAACAAGGATTTCATGTTGGAAGAATCAGCCTGGAAATCATCATCTGTCCCATTTTTCTACTACTTGTCCTGAGCCACCTCTGCTATATTCTCTGTATACATGTGAATATGTCTGAAAGCAGAATCTGATCTCAGTAATAATTAATGAAATAGTTTATAGAGTCAGTTAGCACCTAGTTGAATCCATTCTATCAGGCAAAGAATAAAAGACCACATACTATGTGTAGGTGGGTATGAGAAATAAAATAGAAGAAAGCTAAAATTAAAAGCCTTAGACTAGAAGAAGGCAGAAATATAGAGCAAGAGGAACTGACAGTGAATCCTTAATTTTCTATGTACAATCTACTATCTTATTATGGATCAATGGATCATGAATTGCTGAAGAATCCATGCCATTGGACTTGGAAGTCTTATATCCAGAAGGATGCCCAGCCATCCAAAGCAGCTTTTGAAGAGCCACAAGGAGTTTCAGGGAAAAGAGAACAAAAAATATTGTTTTCCTGTATTCTTCCTCTAGCATAACAATGAGCAACCTACCCCTTTATCCACTCCGCTGACATTGTGCCATCAAAACTGGATGATAAAATGGTCAAATTTTAGCTGTGCAGTTATGGGTCATTTATCAGGTTTTGAGGAGGGCTTTAAGAAGGGCTGTGGGAGTGATTTGCTTCTGTTCACATTTCTATTCTGTTCACATTTCTACTCTCACATTTTTCAGTTATGCCTATTAGGAGATTACTTGTAATATTAACTTACCAAACGTCACCTTGTACCTACTGCAGAATTTTGAGCCAGGCTAACCAATTAAAGAGGCAAATCAAAAGAAAATTAACCAGGCATTATTTTGGTTTCTAGTTTAATGAAAAGGACTAGGGGTGACATGATAGCAGTGTTCCAATATCTCAGGAGTTGCCACAAAGAACAGGGAGTCAACCTATTCTCCAAAGCATCTGAAGGCTGGACAAGAAGCAGTGGATGAAAACCAATCAAGAAGAGAACCAACCTAGAACAAAAGAGAAATTTCCTGATAGTGAGAACAATTAATCAGTGGAACGATTTTCCTCCAGAAGCTGTGGGTGCTCCATCACTGGACGTTTCTAAGAAGAGATTGGACAACCATTTGTCTGAAATGCCAAAGAGTTTCCTGCCTGAACAGTGGATTGGATTAGAAGACCTCCAAGGTGCCTTCCAACTCATTGTTGTTATTTAAGATTTAATCTTCAATTCAATTCACAGGTCTGGGACTGGTAAAAACTTACCAATTCAAGTCCTTACCAAGGACCTAAGAGCTATTAAGGTAGCGTCTGAGTATATAGGCAGTTCCAAGTAGGGTGTTTTTTTGCAAAGTCAAGATATTCAGGTCTAATAAATTCTAAATTTCCATGTATCTAGGGAGCCCTTTGAGTATTGCTTTAAGGGCTCCTATTACTATTGGTACAGCCATTGATTTCTTCCTCCATAGTTGCTCAACTTCTATTTGCTAATCATAATATTTTGTCACTTTTTTCTAGCTGTTTCTCTTCAATTCATGCATCACCTGGTATTGCAATATTAACGAACCGGACTTTTTTTCTTTTCCACAATAGTGATGATGATAATGATGATGATGATGATGACTACTATTACTACTTCAGAGCCCTTGATATGCCATATCCTCTCCATTTTGTCTAAATATATGTGTACATGCATAGATGATTGTGGATGTAGTCACCTGGCAAAGTGACAGTTCAAATGACTTGGCCAGGCTTATGCACCACTTTGCTACTGATGATCTTGATCACTGCTTTTACTAATATATTTAAAGAATGCACCACTTTCACTCAAGGCAAATTAGGAGGCTCAGTTTTCACAAAAGGGTAAAACAGAGTCAGGAGTCATGAATTGATAGGAACTAACCTAACATTTAAACTCTTCTGAGCTCATTTATGATCTAGCTACTGATCCTCTCAGGTTTTCAAGAATTTGTGAGATTCCTTTTGCAAGGAGATGAGATCCTTTCAAGATTCATGTAGTTCAGCATCTCTTTTGCTACAATGGTCAATTAGGATACATCCACTAAGCTTGCAATTAGGTTTTTTTCATAGTTGCAGTCAGGATGTAACATGCATGATTACAAAAACAGATTAGCTTAAAAAACAAATAATCCCTACATCCATTAAAGAATGAAGCTACACTTCCAAGAGGATGGATTCTTTGTATTCAGCAACTTCCTAATTGGGTACTTTCCAGCAA